TCGTGGAAAGCACCAAATTGCACACTGACCTATTTGCGGTCAGCATTCAGCCCCACTGAAGAAGGATTATTGAAGAGTCTTAATTAACATGGTACTTACACAAGCACCAATTCCGATCAAGGGGGTCAGGGTTCCCTTGTAGAAAGCAGAAGGACCCTCATTCTTGAGAATCTTGCTTGCACAGTCGAGGGCATTGGCGTACTGTGTAGTTGTTTGCAACCGCACCTTGACAATATCTGCGGGCATTAGATTGATCCACTAGCTAAGCGGCTATAGTACATACCGAAGGGTTGTCCTATGGAAATATTAGCAACGTCACGACCGACGCATTTTCAACAACGCTCGGCCAAAGAAACTGAAGAAAAGGGGAACGTGTATAAAATGAACATATCTTCAAGAAAACTGAGAACTATAATTCTACAAATGCTGAAACCAAACTGCAATATTTAAGGGTATCACCGCCCTCTAGAACTAACAACGAATGATCCTAGTAACTTACCAAGAAGAACCTGAGCAATGCCACCAGCTGCACCGGCTCCCAAATCTTTGATGGTACGCAGGGCCCCATCGCTCTTCTCAAAGTCCTCGAGTGCTCTCTCTTCCATAGTGACGATAGTTTGAGGACGGTTGAACTGGAACAACTAGAGAACAACTGGGGGTCAGGAAGTAGAGAGATGAGAAGGGGAGAAGAAGCAATTGCGCCTGGAGAACTGGAAGAAACTAGAATATAAAAAAGTGTACCCGATGTGCTTATCAGAATAAACGATGGCGCGAAGAAGCAGGACCCAAATGGGGAATGCGGGCCTCCGATTCGGCGGAGACGCCGATGCACGTGAGGTGAGCGGGAAAGTATTACGGAGTTTAGCAGCGAAACTTTACCTTAATTGAGCTGCCAGAGGACTTTCCCTTACCGGTCGGAATTTTGCCCCGAGGGAAACCAGTGAGAGAAGACAATCCACTCACTCCTGTCTCTCCATCATGCACCGGCGTGCGGTATTGGAGGTGAGCAATTCTATTACTGGTCGATTGAAATTTCGTGGTGCCCATTCAGCGCTAAATTGCTGATTCTATTCACATACAGCTATCCCGCCGTCAAGGTGTTGACTGGACTTGCGCCGCCGCTAGACAGAGAGATGTACCTTTCTCTCCAAGACTACCATGCGTACCCTGGCGGGGCTTCCACTCGTCCCTCGTAACCTTCGAATCGTCTGACTCTGCGCCGAATACAAACAGTGAAGAAGTAGGGTCTGGTGTTGCGATTCCACGGCCCAAATTTGGTGCTGCTCGTTGGGGAACCAAGCAAACACAGAAGTCGGCCGGTCTCAGCCCAGCAGAACAGGCGCTCCGGGGCTCTTTACTAGCGCAGAAGGCTGCGGTAGAGCAAAAGCAACGACAGCAACAAGAAGAAGAACTTCGCAGATCGCAGCGTAGAACGGAACCGCGTGCGGATGGCAACAAATTTTCATGGCGGAACAACAAGCGACGTCCTTTCGACGACCGAGAAAGCCGATCTTTGCAACCCGATAGGAGGTTCGAGGTGAATACCAAGCACGTACCTAGAAATTTGCGTGGTTCAGATTGGACTTGCCCTGATTGTCAATATCATTGTTTTGGGAAGCATCAAACTTGTCCATCCTGCAAAGCCGTCAGGCCGGATTTGGCATGGCCGCCCAAGGGGCCAAGGCGCAAAGCGGAGGAGACGCGCAAGACCGAAGTTCCAGGACAGACTCTCAAAATACGAAAGCTGGGTCAGTCAATGCTGGCGGGTTGGGACCAAAAACAGAATGGTTCTGCGAAAGTCAGCATGCGGGACAATGCCCTAAGGCAGCATACGGCTCGCGCGGGGGGTCCTACGGGAGCCCGGTATGTTTACGATCTCAAAAATGAAGGGGAAAAGGTGGTAGCCCGGGAACACAGAGTCGCAGAGGAGCGTCGCCGTCACCGACTTGCTAAACCCACTCCGAAGAACGAAGAAACCCCCGTTGACCCGTGGTCATGGGATCCGTCATCACTCAAAGTACGTGATGATGGTGGTGCTACACAAACCGGAAAAGTCTCGAAGCGGCGAGATGGCCGCAGGCAACGTGAGTCCGAGGCCGATGAGGATGACGACGAAGAGAACGATCGCCGCCGTCTTCGCGAAGAACGCAAGCGGATGAAGAAAGAGAAGGCCCGGCAAAGGGAGCTCGAATCTGCCGCAGTCCCGTTATATCTACCGGAGTTCATCAGCGTTAGCAATCTTGCTGACGTTATAGGCGTGCGTCCTGCCCAGTTTATCCAGCAAATGGAAGATATGGGTTTTGAGGGTGTCACATATAGCCACGTCCTTGACGCGGAGACCGCAGGTCTTGTTGCAGCCGAGTACAATTTTGAGCCTATCCTCGAGACTGGAGAGGATGACTTGGCAGCTGCGCCCGAGCCGGAAGACAAATCTATTCTCCCACCCAGGCCACCGGTGGTGACTATCATGGGACATGTTGACCATGGCAAGACTACGATACTGGACTGGTTGCGAAAATCGTCGGTTGTTGCGTCAGAGCACGGAGGCATTACACAGCACATTGGTGCCTTCTCAGTAGCTATGCCTTCAGGAAAGACAATCACATTCTTGGACACTCCTGGCCACGCTGCCTTCTTGGATATGCGTCGCCGTGGTGCAGACGTGACCGATATTGTAGTCCTTGTGGTTGCAGCGGATGATAGCGTCAAGCCTCAGACGATCGAGGCTATCAAGCACGCTACCGAAGCAAAAGTCCCTGTCATTGTCGCTATCAGCAAAATTGATAAAGAGGGCGGCAATCCTGAGAAAGTCAAACAGGATCTTTCTGTCCATGGTGTACATGTTGAAGACTATGGCGGTGATGTACAGGCAATTGGAGTCAGTGGCAAAACTGGCCAGGGAATGTTGGAGCTTGAGGAAGCTATTGTTACGCTATCGGAGATCCTGGATCACCGGGCGGATATCAACGGTAGAGCTGAAGGATGGGTAGTTGAGGGAACAACTAAGAGCTATGGCCGCGTGGCCACGGCGCTCATCAGGCGCGGCACATTGCGACCGGGTGATATAATTGTCGCAGGAACGACTTGGGCTCGTGTGCGCACTCTCAGGAACGAGGCGGGCGCGACAGTCTCCGAAGCTACCCCGGGAATGCCAGTTGAGATCGATGGTTGGAGGGAGCAACCGTCCGCGGGGACTGAAATCATTCAAGCCGCTGACGAGCAGCAAGCCAAAGAGGTCGTGGATTATCGATTGGAGAAGTCAGAGACCCAGAAGCTGGGTCAAGATACCGTGGCCATCAACGAGGCTCGACGCGAAGTGCTTGAGAGGCGCCGACAGGAAGAATCCAAGGACAACGAGTCCTCCGTATCTAGCCAGGACGTTTCTGGGCCTAAGCCTGTACATTTTGTTATAAAATCAGACGTCGGCGGATCAGCGGAGGCTGTCCTGAACTCAGTCACAGCGATTGGTAATAACGAAGTCTTTGCCAATGTACTCCGATCCGAGGTCGGACCAATCAGTGAATTTGATATTGAGCATGCGGCTACGGCCAATGGGCATCTCATCTCGTTCAATATGCCCATTGACCCTGCCATGTCGCGCATGGCAGAACTCCGAGGCGTCAAAATCATGGATCATAATATCATCTATAAACTCATTGATGATGTCAAAGCAATTTTGAGCGAACAGCTACCTCCGTCAGTGAGTCACCGTGTTACCGGAGAAGCGGAGGTCGGGCAAGTGTTCGAAATTACGGTCAAGGGAAGAGAGAAAACCGCCATTGCAGGATGTAAGGTTCGCAATGGGGTGATTAACAGAGCTAGAAAAGTACGAGTAATCAGGGACCAGGAAACTATATTCGATGGTATGTTATGTATCCATTTGACTAGCTCGTCTCCTGTTTTGCGAGCTGAAGGCTAACTGTGGTCTTAGGCTCTATATCTTCCCTCAAGAACGTTAAGAAGGACGTGACCGAAATGCGTAAGGACACGGAATGTGGTATCGGATTCGAAGGCTGGACTAGCTTTGCTGTCGGAGATCATATCCAGTGCTACGAGGAGATCTTTGAGAAGAGATACCTATGATCATCCGCATGACCCTTGTGGGTTCTGTATTGCTATTGGCGTTTTGACTGCGGATCGACTCTTCTCTTGTCCAAAGGTAGGACTTTTATCTTGTTTAATCGCATCTGGGTCGGTGTATTTGATTGATACAAAGCGTGGCAGCAAAAGCTGTGGGACATTACCTTCATTGCAGAGATTTAATTCTCGTTGCACAATATACAAACGCTGTGGTCTACATAGATCCCATAAGAATACACTACATATATGCTTATGGTGTTTTTCCGCCTGAGCTAAATATAGCTAACTCTACGTACTCGCTCTCGTAATCTTTCTCAACGGAAAAAAGTCTAGATCAATTCCCTCAGTCCACGGTACCTACTACGTGCACATCGTGAGCAAACTTCAATAGTCTCTGCCCAGCTCCACCAGCCCTTCCAGTCAAAACCACAATACCAATCTCCAAAAACAGCAGAAGCCATAGGCACTCACTCGTACACCTATAGAGCACAATACTAAGATCGGCCACTATCTTCACAAGAGGAAGTTGATTCCGGATTTAGTTATTATTGGTATTGGCTGAATGCTAAAGAATCTTGGAACGCTGAGATGCGCCGTAGATCCACTTAGATTATTATCTAAGATCATGCTTTGCAGCCCCATTTTAGGGTTCGGATGCGGTGTCTCCTTTGGGACGGGACCGAGGTTGTTCAACATTATTTTGATTACATGCTATGGGGACACGTTGGATCTCTAACTTTGTAGTGGATATGTAGGGATGGCTGTTACAGAGGTTTTTTTCTCCTTCATTTTTGATATTTCGAGAAGATTCTAAAAAAGGCACCGAGAGGTCTGATTATTGGAGTTCGCGAAATCTCGGGAAGCAGATTCATTATCGGGAAAGGGCTAAAAAAAAAATAAATTGCAATGCAAATTTTAGACGTCAGCGACAGGGTTTGAACCTGTGCGGGCGAACCCAACAGATAGCTGGATGTCTAGGACATTCAAGTCTGTCGCCTTAACCACTCGGCCACACTGACTCCCGTAGGAAAACGTTCTATAAATGTAGTACTTATGTCTATTAATTTACTTCGTGTCTAAAACGCTAAGTTAACTATACGGACGTTAAACTTGATTATTGATAACAATAATAGTTTATCTTGATTATGATGGCACTCACGTGACATGCAGCCAATCAGGTGATTAGTTAGTGATAAGGTCAGGTACCTGATTGGTTGAATACCTATATGAGCATTGCTGTAAACTTTGGAACACATCAATGCTTTGTGAACCTGGTAAGCCAAGTACCACAGAGTAAGGTGCTATCAGCATGAGGACTTGACTATGCTTTGTGAAGCCTGGTTATCTATGCGAATCCTTTGGGGCGTTTCTATAATACAGGCTTATCAGTTATGAGATAGTGGGTACCTCGCCGTAAATTGGCAATGGTCAAACGTAGGAGAATAAACACGCAAGGTTGACAACCCGCTTGAATGTACCGATGCTGGGGAACAGGATGATTTGGTGTTTCAGGTATATAGGCTTGCTGAGCTACTACTTCCTCGGTCTCAGGCCATGTATGGTATACCTTAAGTTAACTTCTGCTCTTGCTGAGCCCAGCAACAATGTGTGATAACTATTTATACTTACGACAATGTTGAAACACTATGCAATGCTATAAATTTTCGCATTAGTGATATCCACTACCGCTCAAGTGGTCACCACAGGCTGAATTACACTGGTCACTTGAGAGTAACGGTATCACTCGAATGGAAACCTGCCTTGATCGCGAAAGACTAGGCCAGATGTATGGTGCCCAACAATGAAAGTATCCATAACTTATAAGTACCAATTCTGAGGTCCATCTCCGGCCTGTATGATGCCGATCAACGGAGGACTACATAGAGTCTTGAATATCACATGGACCATGTCTTGCTATGTTATTATCTTAGTAACAGGTCAATATAATAACTTCCCAATATTAATGCTTTTGTAAGAGAGAAACGAATGTGCTGGGAGGTCATGGACCGGCTTCAAGTGAGTTTCTTACTTAGTCCTTTCTATAGAATCATGAGGTTCGAGTTTGTTCCACATAGTTTTACTCCGCACGTGGTTCTAAGCAATCAAGGACTTTTGCACTATGCAGGTGGTGCAATGTTTAAAGTGTTGGAGAGTCACGGGAATTGACACCATTACTATCCTCCGGATAACTCCGCGGGGTTTGAAGCTCGTTTTCTTACACTGTTTCATCCTCAAACAAAACTCCTGCTACTTGATTAAACCCCGAAACTAGCTCAGGAATCCCTTGCTGGAGCTCTCCCATAAGAATCCGGTTTAGCGCCTGCAATGAATCAAGACAAGCCGATAGTCGTCGCCTTCGACATCTATGGAACCATGCTATCCCCAGGATCCATAGCCAAGGATCTGGAGCAGTACACCGGTAATGACACAGACCGTGCCCGGTCGATTGCAGCACTGTGGAGGCGCTACCAGCTTGAGTACACGCGGCGATTGAATAGCACGGGTATATTACGCTTACGTCCTCGTATACAGACGGTTGGTCCTTGGCTCACTTGAACGTCAGGATGATACATGTCCTTCGAAGAAGTCACGCGAAATGCTTTGGTCCACGCTCTGCACAAGACAGGAACATCTGTAAAGGACGGTGAGATAAGGGACTTGCTTATAGCGCACGATAACATGGCCGCAATCCCGGACCGCAGAGCCGGCGTTGGACCGACTGACAGAGGTCGAGAATATCGCGCCTGTCATCTTCCCCAATGGTACTTCTGATATGGTACCTAGGTCCGTTCTTCGCTCGGCACCATTGTCACGCCATACAAAAACCTTTAAGGACCTTGTCTGTGTCGACGGCGTGCAGAAGTTTAAACCTGCACTGGAGACCAACAACTAGTTGGCCGAGAGCATTGGAAGGGACCCGTCAGACATCTGGCTGGTCAGCTCCAACCCATTCGACATTAAGGGGGCTCTCCATGTGGGCGTGAAAGTCATTTGGATTGACCGGACCGAGTGTCACCGGGTCTGGAGCCGACAGTGATTGTAGACAGTTTAGAAAAGTTTCTAAATGTTGTAGACAACCCTTTGAGATAACGCGATGATGCGAGTTGCTTGGCTTCCATTGGTTCTTTTACATCAAGCTAAATAACGAAAGTTTGCCGAAAGTTGTGGATGTTCATATCGGAAGTGTATGCTGTAAATATTTCCAAATGCTCCACACAGAAGAAGAATTTGGGGTAAGGCAGCTAGTTACTCTAACCTCCTCTTTCCCCTCCAAAAGTCCATGGTGTTGTGAACCTCAGAGTGAATAAGGAGGTATTCAGTTTATGTATGGAAGAAAAAAAGAAAAGGTCCAAGAGGATGAAAATTTCGAATTTATATGACGGCGCTGACCGCCCTACTTACCGATAAAATGATTGGGCTCTTGGCATTGGTGTTTGTGTCTTAGTTTGTCTTAGTAGTACGGCCCTACGGGCCGCAGGAATGTCCATATGAAATCATCTTCTCATCTTTCAGCCATCATACTCATACCTAATATTAGTCTAACTAAACTTCATTGTGGGTGGTTTTACTTTGCGCGGCTTCTTTTTTACTTCGTCTTAGGCTCGTCGTTATGTCCAGGGTGTGGGACACCAGTAGAGCGGCTTGGCTGTATCCTCTTCGCGTCAGTTCAACGTTTGCTGCCTAGGTATATACTCTCATTACGTTGACCACTGACGCCTACAATTTGTACAGGGTCTTTACTATTTCGTGTCGCATCGTTTCCTCTGGCCTCTGTTTAAAACTCGCCTAATCCCGATTGTTCTGCTGTCGGCGTTTATCTACTTCCTGCTTTTCTTCTTTACCTATCTACCCCAGGTCGCCTTTCTCGCCATCTTCCAAGGCGTTGGTGCTTGGATCAATGGAGCGTTCCTGGTTCTAGGAGAAGGCGCCGCAATTGTGGCTGCACTTTTCGAAGCATTTTTTGTTGACGAAACCCTAGTGGATATTTTCGACGCTGTACTAGTGAATGAAGGCCACGGCGACCTGGTCACCACCTCGCGGGTCCTATATCCGCAAGGCGACGATGTTGTCAAACGACTAGGCAAGCCAACCCGAAGCGCGGTGTATGCGCCATTCTCTTTGCGACAGATCGTGGAGTTCGTTGTTCTTCTCCCTCTAAACTTTATCCCTGTGGCCGGTACACCCATGTTTCTCATCCTCACTGGATATCGAGCGGGCCCGTTTCACCACTGGCGGTATTTCCAACTGCTAGATCTTTCGAAGCAACAGAGAAAAGAGAGAATCCGCCGCCGACAATTGCAATATACTACGTGAGTATTTGTTCATTCCTGTTGATCCACTTGGGCTTTGCTAACCGTGGGAACGATAGGTTTGGGACGGTTGCTCTGATCCTTCAGTTGGTTCCGCCTTTGTCCATGGTTTTCCTCATGTCGACTGCTGTTGGTTCAGCGCTTTGGGCTGTGGACCTTGAGAACAAACGCGATCAGATTGAGGGACGAAGGCCTGATCCAGTGGGCGATTATCATGACGAAGATACGATCTGATCTGTTTCACCTGTTTTTGTTTTTGCTTTCAGTTTTTCCGTTTTTTCTTTCTTTTTTGCTTTTTCTCGCCATGTTGTATATTGCTTTTTTTTTTCCATCCGAAGAACGTACATATACCAGTCTGGTTCCTGATTCGGAGAGAAGGCCGACTGAGTATTTGTCATGTAGTCTGGGTCATTAGCTTATAGTCTGTACCTAGGCTACTCCGTAATCCCAATTAGAGTACGAGATTGAGGGGTTTCTCAGGGAGCGTTCCAGTACCCACAGATGATCCACCACCTTTTTTCTTGGTCTCAGTGACTTGGAAGTAGGATCGTTGAGCAGTGGCAGATTGGAACCCCTGAAAATGCTAATGAGAGCTAAGTTGAGGATGGTAAACTCTATTGATAACTCCATCGACTGATTCAGCCAGTCAATGCTTGAACTTGACTCCAGAATCACCCCATCCATTAATTTCTGTGCAGATAAGAAACCCTAAGGTGGAGATGGTCCAGAGTCCCAAGTTTTCCTACTATTAGCGTCAGGGGGTCGTTCATTGGTCCCTGGCAAATGCCGGCAGCGGATGTGATACACTTCACGTGACCCCGCCGCCGCTGGGACCCGAGACGGTGTCATTGTTCGTCGTGAAGCCCATCATCCTTCAACCGGCTGTGGCTTTAACCAATTGACACCCTTCCCCGTTCACTTTACGGAGTTAATTCCACTTTCGGCGGCTAAAGGCGTGAGCCAAGTGCCGTTTGAATCATTCTTGGCTCCACCTCCCATCGGTGAGGGACTCGCGTGGTTGATTCAATTCATTTATTTGCTCAGAATTCCCGAAGCCGTTAGAGAAAATGCGACCATTTTTGAGGCTTACTGCGACGTGAGGTCTAGTCCAGCCGTTGAATTCTATCCTGTACAATCACCGAGGTACTCTTACTTTATCTGTACATCATCCGAAGACGTCTGTGCAGATCTCCGTGTGCAACCCCCCCCAAAAAAACCATCACCCTGGAGATCATCTCGGAAGGATCGTTTCTAGGCAAGACATCGCAAATCCTAATCTGCAGTGTTCACTGAGTGCGCCAGAGTAGCATACCGGTATAAAGCCCAAAACCGCCAATGCTCTAGGCTCATGGATTCGACCCGAAGTATGGAAACGGTCGCTGCCTCACCTCTATGCTCATGGACCAGAGAACAAGGCTGCGAAAGGCTTGTGATGCCTGCAGTATTCGAAAGGTGAAAGTGAGTGTCTAGCATTGCACTTGCGCGCACACGCCCATAGGATATTGGTCTAACGGATGTCAGTGTGATACAAGCGGGCCGCCCTGTCGGTCGTGCGCAAGCTTGGATATCCCCTGTACCTATGAGAGACCAAGCAGGCGCCGTGGCCCTCCCAATCGTCATGCAGAAGCGCTTAAACGACAGAAGCTCACGGCATCGCCTGCTGGTTCTCCTACTCCGTCAGATAATACGTCCCCAGAATCTGCGGGACT